GCTCTACATCGGTGGGGAACTTGGCCTTTGAAGAGTCGAATGCTACAAGCCATTCTTCACCTTGTGTGAACATCGTGAACAATTTCTGCGTTGTTTGTGGAGAATATATTCCTCAAGTTAAGAATATTACATTTTCAGATTTATTAAAAGTTAAATATAAAGAGTGCTTCAAAATCGAGACCAACACGCTGGACAATATTTGGACTCCTAAATCAATATGTCCTAAATACCGAAATTTCCTTAATAAATCAAATAAACTGATATTCTCAAAACCAATGTTATGGAGCAAACCAGCAAATCATACTTCTGACTGTTGCTTTTGCCTGACAAATGTAAAAGGTTATAACCGCGCTAATAAAGACTTTATTTCTTACGCGTGTGTTAAATCTGTTTCTTGTCCTGTTTTTATTGAAACTAAGACCGATGAGAATAATATTGATGCACGTGATGAAACTTCCATTGATCAATCATCAGCAGACAGTATGGTCGTCGATGCAGAAATGCTAGATGAACAATCAAGTACTTCAGAAAATGAAGAAAGTGATGCTTCCAGCACAGAAGAATCAGACGTTGAGGTCAATGAACAAAATCCAGAAAAGATGAACCAAGATGAACTGAGTAACTTATGCCGAGACTTGGGTCTCTCGAAAGAAAGTTCTGAACTCTTAGCATCCAGACTGAAAGGGAAACGATTTCTAGCTCCAGGAACACGAGTGACACATTATCGTTCGAGAGAACGACTCTTCCGAAAGTATTTCTTGAGAATGTCTAATTTAGTGTATTGCAATAACATCGAAGGTTTAATCGAAGAGTACAAAATAGAATATAGAGCTGGTGACTGGCGTCTGTTTATAGATTCTCCGAAAAGAAGCTTAAAAGCAATCTTGCTTCATAACGGAAATGTCTACGCTGCTTTACCAGTTGCCCTTTCCGTTATACTAAATGAAGAGTACCATAACTTTGAGTTGCTATTGCAAAAATTGAAATATGAGAGTCATATGTGACAAATTTGCGGATACTTAAAAATATTTACAATTTTGTTAGGACAACAATCGGGATTCACTTCATATCCGTGCTTCATTTGTGAATGGAATAGTCGGGCTAGGGATGACCCTTATGTTAAAAAAGTTGGCCGTTGAGAAAAAAATTGATTCCAGGCGTAAAAAATATCATTTGTTCGAATCTGATACCAACTGATAAGGTTCTCCTACCACCATTACACATTAAACTTGGGGTAGCAAAGCAATTTGTTAAAGCAATGAGCCTAAATGAAAGTGCTGCCTTCATGTACATTTTTCAAATTTTTCCTAAACTTTCTGAAGCAAAAATAAAAGAGGGCGTCTTTACTGGGCCAGATATACGGAAACTTCTGAAAAATGAAGAATTTGAAAGGCGAATGAATGAAAGAGAAAGCAGCTTGGAGAAGTTTTAGGGAAGTCACGAAACAGTTTTTAGGCAATAATAAAGACCCCGACTACAAAAATATTGTTGCAACAATGGTAAACAATTTCCAAAAATTAGGATGTTTAATGAACCTTAAACTCCACTTTCTTGATTCTCATCTTGACTTCTTTCCAGAAAATCTAGGGGCATTCAGTGACGAACAAGGTGAAAGAATGCATCAGGACCTGAGTGACTTTGAGAAAAGATATCAGGGTGTTTGGGGAAAGAATATGTTGGCAGACTATTGCTGGTGTTTAAAAAGAGACACAAACGTAGAACATAAAAGAAAATCAATTAGAAGATCGTTTGAAACTAAACGTAAACGATTCAAAGCTGACGATTAATTTGTATACTAAACAAGGAGATTCATTTATTGAAAATAATTTTAAAAACAGTAAGTTGTAAATCGGGTGAAAGTCTCATCTTAATGGCTGGACACATTACTGTTCTTGCCTTAACTGACCGGGACATTCAGTCGTCTTGACTTAATTGTCTGGACGCGCTTATGTTCTTGCCTTAACTGGCCGGGACATTCAGTCGTCTTGCCTTAAGTGGCTGGACACACTCTTTTTCCTGCCTTAACTGGTCGGAACATTCACTCCTCTTGCCTTAACTGGCTGGACACACTCTTGTTCATGCCTTAACTGGCTAGGACATTCACTCGTCTTGCCTTAATTGGTTGGACACGCTTATATTTCTACCTAACTGACAGGAAAATTGCCTTAACTGGCTAGCCTCCTCATTTTTTCGCCTCATTCGGTCAGGTATACATACGTATACATTTTTTCAGATTTTTTAGACCCATTTTCTCGATTTGACCTACAAATGACCTCGACATGACCTTGATACGACCTTTAAATGTACTTAAATGGTGAAAATAATAGCGGCTTTGAACTCAGCTAGCCCAAAAACATACGTATAAATTTTTTCAGATTTTTAGACCGATTTTCTAGATTTGACCTTCAAATGACCTTGATATAACCTTCGTATGACCTTCAGATGTCCTTCAGATGTCCTTTAGGGGTGAAACTGACAGCGGATTTTAACTCAGCTACTCCAAAAACATACGTATAAATTTTCTCAGATTTTTTAGACCATATTTCTCGATTTAACCTCCAAATGACCTTGATACGACCTTTAGATGTCTTTGAATGGTAAAAATAGCAGCGGCTTTGAACTCGGCTACCCCAAAAACATACGTATGAATTTTTTCAGATTTTTTAGACCATATTTCTCGATTTGACCTCCAAATGACCTTGATACGACCTTTAGATGTGTTTGAATGGTAAAAATAGCAGCGGCTTTGAACTCGGCAACCCCAAAAACATACGTATGAATTTTTTCAGATTTTTTAGAGCATTTTTGGCCATTTGACTTTCAAATGATCTTGAACCTGACGTAATGGAGCTTAGCCAACCTCGGATTCGGAATCAGCGATACAAAAAAACTATAAGTACCCTGGTCAGGTCCGATGCTTATTCTTAACCTGTGATTATCGAAATCCGTCCAGTAGTTTTTGAGTTTATTCGTAACAAATATACATACATACAAAAATACAAATCTTTCCTCTTTATAATATTAGTATAGATAAATTTGATCATTCAAATAGCAAAATGTTCCAACTAAATTCTAACTGGCACATGCAGGGATGACAAACTACGACCCTTTAGTTAGAAGGAGACAACGCACTGTAAATCGAATTTATATTCTTTGTTTATCATTTTTAAACATTTGCCTAGTTTTACTCAAATGACTCAATTTTTTATACATAACGCATTTCTTTGGGTGGTAAATATTAATTTCGATGATATTTTTTCAATCCGCCATAATGGGTCCTCCATTTGGATTTAAGAATTTCCGAATTAAAACTTTATATTTGTAATAGCCGACTTTGAAAACAACAGAGTAAAAGTTTTAGTCATAATCTTCGAATTTTGAATACTTATCCTATTTTTACATCCACCATATTGGATCTTTTATTCAGATTCGTAGTCAGCGACCCTAAAAATCCACGGTAACAAAATTCAGGCAAAAATATTGAATAGAAAAGTGTATGACTTAAATTTACCTACATTTATATATTTGGTGGTATAAAATACAAGGCTATCATTTTTCACATTGTTTTGCATTGGGTGTGGATTTAGTTTGCATATATTTCTTTCCAATGCTGAAAATATTATTTTAAATTGTTTTCTTAAAGTATTTATGTTGTTCTTCATTATAAAGCTTTAGCTTATCCTCACCATTTCACTCTATTTTAGGAGATATATTAGCGTTTTACTAAAAAATGCCTTGGTAGATCGGTTTTTGGGCTCCGAATACGAATTCAGCATAAATAATACACGCGTAATTTCCTTACCTTAGGTACCCCTTAAAATAAAAATTCCAATTAGGAATAAACCTTGCGACAACCTTTTAAATTGCATGAGAACATACTGATTATAGATAGTACGTGTCTATCATACTTGCAGATGACACTTCTATAAAGTCATATTCAACCCTTTTGTGAATTTGGGGCTTACACAACATGATGGGTTTTATGAACTCCTTGGTTTATTATTTTCTTTTTAGTGCATTTTAATAAAATCTTGTTTTTATAATATTTTTTTTTTACTTTTTATTTATTATAATTGTAATTTAATTTTTATATTTATCCTATTTTAATTTTAGGTACATGTAATGTAAATTTGTTAATTAAGTGTTAATTAAGTGTTAGAATGTATTTCAAATCTGAAAATACTTTATTTTTTCAAAATGAGGCAAACGACGCGAAATTATTTAACAGCGAAACAAAATATTGAATAAATAAAATGTAACAACTGTTGCTGTGTTTATATTACAAATTAGGTAATCTCAAAGATAGTTATATACCTATGTATAGTTACCTTCAAGGTAAGGTTATTGAGATGACCAAAAATTCTGTTTTTATTGTAATGTTATGCAGTTCTGCACTTTCGAAAACTTAGAAGTCGTATGAGTAGACGTAGCGAATGAATGAATTAAAAGTACTGTTTCAATCCCTATTTCCAAAAAGAAAAGTGTAATTTTTAGTACTAATGCAATTAAAATGGTCGTCAAGGAAATTTGACAGCATGTTACAGTATATTATAAGATAGTATCTAGACTTGAGGTTTGTGACCATGGGCTAACCAGAAAATTGGTTAATGGAGCAAGGATAAATACATGTTACACAAACTTACAACAATAAAATTTGCCAGGAAAGGGTAAGGGTAAATACAGTTGTGGCTCAAATCATAAAAACTAATAAAAAATAACAAAAAATTATAAAAAATAAATATTAAAATTTTTCTAATTTGATGGTACTTTTGTGCAGTTTTATCTTTTGCAGGCGTATGTCAGAATAGCATATAAATAATTTTAATTACATTGAATTTTTGTAATTTCAAGTCATAAAAGTGTAGTGTACATTGATCGAGATCAAATTGCCTTTTAATCCCTTGGTATATAATATACTATTTTATATTTATTTATATTACTGAAATAAAAATATATATAACTATATAAGCTTTTAATAAATAAATTCAATTACAATATTACTATGTCTGAGGCTTTACTTTTGCTAAATAATCTAAAGATCTTTGGATTGCTGGAGGAACTGGTGGTGCAGTGGGCAAGTGACTGCCTTGTGGTTGAAACCCATTTTCATCGGACACGTATCTTAAGTAAATTAATTCACCTTCTGGGGATACGTATTGGAACTGTCCCTGAACTGCTTGAATTTCAGGTCCTTTAGGATATCCTTGCTGATCCTCATATATTCCATTACTCGTTTCATATAAATAATTATGGGTTCCATCAGGAACTATGTTAAGTTCTTGTCTGATAATTGAAATTTGCTGGCTATAAGTTGCTGTTAAAGACAAACAAATCAAAGCTGGAATTATCTGAAAGAAGAAAGAAATTTGTCAGATGTAGTTATTATTAGTATTCAACGATATTTGTGCTTATACTATATACTAAACTTACCAAACTTTTCATCATATATGAATTTATATAATTTTTTGTGCAAATATAAACGCGGAGCAGTGACACATCTTCTTATATATTCCCCACCTTATGTGACATTTTTGGGATCGAAATATTTCGCAAAAAATATGTGGAAACAATTATACATCTCTAGAAGAAATAAAATAATGTCTCTGGAACAGTTACATAACAATTTCATTGCTTTTACTAATTACAAAGCTATAAAATTTGATCTACGAATCGTTCAAACATAAATTTTGGTGTAAATTAGTAAGAACTCTTTGAAATTACGACATTGTTTCGTGTGAATATGTGGAGAACATACCAATATATTATATAATATATCCGTATTGGATGAAACCTTGGTTTTTGAATAACAAATTAAATTGCAACATGTAGCGAGAACAGATAAAAATGGAAATTGGTATACGTATATATTTACTATTAAAATTTAATCTTTTATAATAAATTAGAAAAGGGAAAAATAGTATTTGGAACCAAAATTTACAGATTTGCACCGCATTGCAATGCAAAATACTTTATGAGAAAAAATAAAATTTGTCTCAATACAACTTGAACAATAAATTAAACTATTTAGAACACTAAAAAGCAAAACTATTTTATTAAAAAAACTACAAAATTTTAAGCAAACTTAAAAAATAATTTATATCACGGGTATACATATAAAGAAATTTGCTTATGTATTTATACACTACACTGTAGCATGTATTTAAAAAAGCGTCTGCAGAGTATTTAAACTGTTTTACGATATCTAGTGCAAACAGACATATACCTATATATTGGACTATGCCAATTTTGCCGAAAATTGAGAATCGCCTTGTAGCTCGAAAACAATAAAATATATAACTTGGTATATATTTACACCACTTACTTTCAGAGTAACAAAACAAATCAGAAAATGTTACAGCCCCCTCGTACTGCTCATCTTTAACGATCAATTACACTCTACCAAGTCATCGTTATAGATTTTCCCCTTTTTGCCTAATTGATTTGCCGCTTTTACATACAAATGAGCCTTAAAAACATTAAGTTCACTTATAGCGTATTAGACAGAGCCTTACAAAAATAGTCAATATGTAGTGGTTCAACAATTGCCTCCACACTGTCACTCCCCTTATCGTGAAATGCTCGGACTTCTATTCGAAGCAGAAAGGTCCAAGTTCATACACCCCTCTACATATTTTTATTTTCCGAATACTATCGATTTTTTAAACATTTTTAGTTTTAAGCTTCCAAAAAGTCCAAGCCAAAAAAACAAAATGTTAAGAAAAGATGGGGCTACAATTTGATTTCAATTGCGAAATGTTACTGATTAGATTACCTACTCAATATTTCAATCTAAGAAATTTGAATTTAGATATTGTAATAAACATGGAATAAACTAAATTATTATAGGGATAGGGCTAGAGAGATATAGAGAAATCCGCGCGGATCACCTATCCGCGACGGGCAAGTGTGAACAAATTCGAAAAAGGTAAGCTCCGTGCGGTTTGCATCCGCGAAGTTTCCGCCGTGTCTGAATTAGCCCGTTGTGCAATATTATCTTCAACGATGAAACTGCATTTACAATAAAAAATTTATGTTTCATAGGTCTTTCTTTTGGTATTTTTTGATTTTCAAATAAAAATAATAGGAGTAATAATATTTTATTATTCAAAATTATTTATGTTACTGTTTACTACAAAACTATCTACTTAACTGTGATATTAAACCCTGAGTTAGTAACAGTTACATAACAACTATAATAATGAAAATTAAATAAAAGTAATAATTTTCTCATGGCACAATTTGATACATTTATTTTGCAGTAGGAATTTTTGAGCAAGTAATGAATTATTGAAATGGATTTTACTAGAAAACGGTTCATGCTATTAAAATCTAACAAGAGTACCTACCTTTTTTATGCAAAATATGATAAATTTTCATATTTTCGGTTCAGGAAGTAGAAAAAATTGCGTACAAAAAGAAATTGTAAAATTTGCCTCATGATCCCGCATTTTCTTAGGCCCCTGTAGCAAATTTTGATTTGTGTATTATACCGATTATTANATAAAGAAATTTGTTTATGTATTTATACACTACACTGTAGCATGTATTTAAAAAAGCGTCTGCAGAGTATTTAAACTGTTTTACGATATCTAGTGCAAACAGACATATATCTATACATTGGACTATGCCAATTTTGCCGAAAATTGAGAATCGCCTTGTAGCTCGAAAACAATAAAATATATAACTTGGTATATATTTACACCACTTACTTTCAGAGTAACAAAACAAATCAGAAAATGTTACAGCCCCCTCGTACTGCTCATCTTTAACGATCAATTACACTCTACCAAGTCATCGTTATAGATTTTCCCCTTTTTGCCTAATTGATTTGCCGCTTTTACATACAAATGAGCCTTAAAAACATTAAGTTCACTTATAGCGTATTAGACAGAACCTTACAAAAATAGTCAATATGTAGTGGTTCAACAATTGCCTCCACACTGTCACTCCCCTTATCGTGAAATGCTCGGACTTCTATTCGAAGCAGAAAGGTCCAAGTTCATACACCCCTCTACATATTTTTATTTTCCGAATACTATCGATTTTTTAAACATTTTTAGTTTTAAGCTTCCAAAAAGTCCAAGTCCTTAACACGTAAACTCCTGTCCAAAATTAACGCAACATTAAAAATTTACCGAAATTTTGTTGCTACTTTTTTTTTCGTAACCTGGAGTCCGATGTCAATGATTTTTTTTGCATTGTAGGTTTGTTTCTTGGCAATGTCACTATACTTCTTGTTTTTGATAAAACGTTAATTTTTGGTTTATACCGGGCGTAATAAAAATAGTATATTTTTTTCGTAAATTTGCAACACCCTGTGGGGTATACCAGTAACTCTAACGCAGGCAGTATTACACGTTATTAGGTTTCTCAAAACTTGGCGTTTTGTTTGTATTAATTACTGAATAAACTAGTTTCATTTTAAAACATTATTAATCATGCATAAAATTGAAAAAGGCGGCGTATCTCCTTTAACAATAGAGATAATAAAGTGAATAAAAAAACAAAATGTTAAGAAAAGATGGGGCTACAATTTGATTTCAATTGCGAAATGTTACTGATTAGATTACCTACTCAATATTTCAGTCTAAGAAATTTGAATTTAGATATTGTAATAAACATGGAATAAACTAAATTATTATAGGGATAGGGCTAGAGAGATATAGAGAAATCCGCGCGGATCACCTATCCGCGACGGGCAAGTGTGAACAAATTCGAAAAAGGTAAGCTCCGTGCGGTTTGCATCCGCGAAGTTTCCGCCGTGTCTGAATTAGCCCGTTGTGCAATATTATCTTCAACGATGAAACTGCATTTACAATAAAAAATTTATGTTTCATAGGTCTTTCTTTTGGTATTTTTTGATTTTCAAATAAAAATAATAGGAGTAATAATATTTTATTATTCAAAATTATTTATGTTACTGTTTACTACAAAACTATCTACTTAACTGTGATATTAAACCCTGAGTTAGTAACAGTTACATAACAACTACAATAATGAAAATTAAATAAAAGTAATAATTTTCTCATGGCACAATTTGATACATTTATTTTGCAGTAGGAATTTTTGAGCAAGTAATGAATTATTGAAATGGATTTTACTAGAAAACGGTTCATGCTATTAAAATCTAACAAGAGTACCTACCTTTTTTATGCAAAATATGATAAATTTTCATATTTTCGGTTCAGGAAGTAGAAAAAATTGCGTACAAAAAGAAATTGTAAAATTTGCCTCATGATCCCGCATTTTCTTAGGCCCCTGTAGCAAATTTTGATTTGTGTATTATACCGATTATTAAGCATATAAATAGTAATACAACCCCAAAATTTCGTGATTTAATATTAAACCGTTTTGAAGTTATGAAATAAAAACTGTTTCCTGAGTTACCCCTTCTTTTTGTCAGGGGCTGTATCTCCCGCCACTGACAAAAACTCTACTAAGGTTTTCAATATATTTCGACATGTTTTACATATTCTCCAATTTTGAGTACTAATTTCGTTAACACCTTGTAATTTAAAATAAATGGTATTTATTAATGAAAAATGATGTTTTATGGATTTGTTTAGGTCGGGTATCCATTTGAGTTGAAATAGAAATACATCATATATATGTCCATAACTGGGATATTCGTTTTATTAACGAAGTAGCGATAGCTTATGTACACACATTTGAATATCCATTTGAAATATAAAGATCAAGATGTACGTCTTATAGATGTCTTCAATTGGAATATTCATTTAGGCACGAAAATGGGACGACTTTTAGATACGTTTAAGGTGGATGTACATGTATGCATCAAAACAGATTATTCTGTGGATGAATAAGATCAGTCACATACCATTCTAGCCCCATTATCTTCTTTGCTTTCATATCTAGTAAAAATGATAAGGACCAAAATTTGAATGAATTTTCTTGCGATCTCAAAGAAATACATAAAAAACAATTGAATGTTGTATTTGGAAGATATAAACCAAACTTTTCTTATTTAATGGAACATCTTATATATTTGTAATTTTTTGAATTCGTGAGAAAAACTAATCTACCATAATTATATTGTGATAATTCGTTAAACAATATTCAAGGAAGTTACATAGTTAAATCTTAAATTCATGTCATTCACAGTATTTGAAAGGACCAGAATGTATTAAAAATGGAAGTGTCAACGTTGATCAAGGACGATCATCATGAATGACAATATTGGAGCTATTGAAGAACTTTTGAGATTAATACATTTGTGGTCTTGCTAACATCAATAAAAAGTGATCGAAATGTTTTCCTTGAAAATACTAATCCCGATGCAGCTTATCACGACGCACACATGAGTAAATTGCTTTGCTTGATCTCTTTCATATGCCTAGAGTAGCTAGAACATAAGTTTACACTTAGGTATAATCTAAATTTGTCATGTAATTATCATTTGTATAAGCCGCGGAAGAAAGAAT